TTCTACAAAGATGTTGTGGTTTGAGTATGGATACCAGATGCACAGTTCAAGGGCCTGCACTACAAATACAAGTGCCCAAGTTGCCAATCCATTCAATCAACACAAAACATCAGGGAAGTTGGCGCCCTGCAATTGCAAATGGGGATATCCATTGGGTCTTTTTTTCCGATGTTGATGCTCAAATAAGGCTTGTAAGAATAAGACTTTTCTACAATCAGCCAAGAGTTTTTGAATGATCTACCTTCATGCATTTTGGATGAATTTGAATATCTGTTTCCACCAAAAGGCGTAGGCATTTTGACTGACATGCTACGATCACTATCAATTCAAACAAGTAACCATATTCTGTTTGGCGCTTGGACAAATCAAGTGAACAACATAATACTATAGGCTTGCAAACTGACAATTGGACAGTTGAAGAAAGACCCTTCTATGAAGTTTTCCCATCACTGCATGATGAAACCAACAGATCTTGCTCTCTCCCTGCAATTGCAGTACCTAAAAGAGAAATCCGTGTCTTTGAAACAACTGCTGCGACAGATGGCTTCTTTTATTCCATCATTGAATTATTCACTGATAGTCATGACATCCACCATGGTCTTGATACAGAGTTTGAAATCCCAATGCCGCAGGAGTTGGCAGTTTTGTCTTTATCCTTTCCTAAGTATCTTGCTGTATCTGCCAACTTGCCAACTGCCATCATCCTACATTTGTATAAAATGAGAGGATTCCCTGAGTCGCTCAGGCGCATCCTGCAAAAAAAAGAATATGGTGCCAATGGGGCGTCAGATTGGAGGTGACTGCAGTGAACTTGAAGAACAATGTAGTGTCAATATAGAGAGCAGAGTTGAGCTTGGAAGTCTATGTAAAAGCGACTGTCCAGAAATAACTATGATGGCTGGTGGACTGAAGTTGAAGAGCTTGATGAAAGAATATTTACAGTCAACGTATCCTATGGACAAATCAAATGCTCAAACTACTAGTTACGCTAGAACATTGACAGACAAAGATATTCAATACTGTACTCTAGATGCTCTTGTGTCCCACATGGTCGGTCATCTAGCTATGGAATCTCTGGCAAAGAAACCACTATGCGCCAAAGGTACACACACTGTAATAGATGTGGGAAGCGGGTGTACTGTTACCTTTCGCAATTGTGATATTGCAAAAGGAACAATATAATTTGTTGGAACAAGAGGGGAACAAAGACAATAGAATGGGAGAACCATTGGCCGCTGTGACTGTCTAGTTTTGGTGGAAAATGTAATGGATGAGAGCCATTCACCAAACCGACAGCATGAATCATGGCCAGATGATGCACTTACTCTGAAGGATTTGGCTAATATTAATGGGCCTCTAAAGTTGGTGGTTGGAACAAAACAGATCCGAGTGATTGATGGTGAAAAGGAGGATTGCAATTTGCTGCCATATACCTTTATGCATAAATTTGTCCAACATGATAAACAGTTTTTCCAATTGCTTGTACCTTTATTCATAAATTTGTCCAACATGATTAACAGTACTTCCAATTGCTTGTACCTTTATTCATAAATTTGTCCAACATGATAAACAGTACTTCCAATTGCTTGTGGATATGGGAACAGTACATGATGTCAGCAATGATGACATCAAGGAGGAACAGGAGGAACAAGAAGAAAGTTTATATGATCGAGAAGGAGATGATGGTACCAAGCATGAACGGTACCAAGGACTTACAAGATCACAGCATGACATCTTTCATCAGCTGCACAAGTTACCACTGAAAAAGAACTGTGAAGCAACTGCATTTTTTTATCAAATGATACTTGCAGCAACCTGGATTAACAATCAAGAAGATTACTCCAACATTGTGACTGCACTTCAAAACAATCACAATGTTGAGGACATTGCAGCTCACAAGTTCTTCAATAGGGGATATTGGAGGCAGCATGTGCGACGACTTACCCCAACCCCAGAAAACCATGCCGGCAATCTGGAGAAGGTGAAAAGCTTTGTGTCGTCTGACAATCGCTTCAAGGAATATTGAATAGTTGAGCTTATGAAATGGTTTGAAAAATTCATTGAAAATGCAAGGCAGGGGATGTATGTATACCGAGTTGAACGAATTGACAAAGACGGTCTGAAGGTATATGTTGCAGACTAGTACTGACCTCAATGAAACCCTGCATCAAAAGTATGCAGATCTTGTTGGTCCCTACTCAGTAGGAATGAAGAGCGCTGACCTTTTCCTTGTTCTTCGATCCTTTCGATCCAATGTAAAAATTGGAATAGGAAGATGTGGTGAGCCAGATTTTGGAACAGATCAACATGACATCATCGACAAAACCCAACACTGGATCCTACATAGGTTTGGAATATTACCTAGGCCAACACACAAGAACTTACTGGACTTTTTGCCGCCAAGTGACTCAACAGTGGTTGGGTTGCAACCGTTGAGATTTGATCCAAATCATGTGAGGTACTCAGAAACACCAGGAGCCAAACTCTCAAACGATCATTATTACCTCTCAAAAAAGCTTGTGCTTGCAATTGCGCTTTTGCCAGGTTGTACAAAAGATG